ATCTGTGAATTTTCCTTCTGATTTAGTTGTAATACACAAATACAACAAATCAGCATTCTTAAGTCTTAAAAATATGAAAAAAAATTGGTTACTGACAATCCTATTGAGTTTCGAGTAGAGTGTATATATTTTTCATAATCATTTACTTTTAATGTATCCCGTCTACAAGTTATTAGAATTTAAAAATGTTTCTCTAGAAATATGGTAAAAAATGTATTCAGTAAACATTTTAAATATATACAAGACATGCGGAATGTACGTTTCCGTTATTTTCCTTCTAAAATATAGTAACTAAGTTTCGTAAAATTGTTACTAATTTTATGAGTTTCCCTATACTTTATAGAATAGCTCTGCATCATCTATATGTTATAAATTACCTACATACAACATTATTTAAAGAAAGTAAAATATTTTTTCACAAAAGTTGTTGTTATTTCCTACATTTTATTTCAAATTTTCTACTAAAAGCTAAGAATTAAGATATATTTTTATTGCTACGAAATGAATCCGTTAATGCAAGGATCATATTGATCTTAAATTAATACAAATATCATTACTGAGTCTACTTAAGTTTATAACGAACATACAAAGCACCTGTGGCCGAATATGGAATAGAAAGAATGATAACACTCAAACATAATTGGGTAAAACACTCTTAACAAGAATTCCTCCATTTCTACACATCTGTCTAGCAGCCACTGTTCTTTAGCTTTGCGACACTCTTTTTCGTATTTGTCGGATAATCTGCTGATGTTTGGTTCGGTCTTTGTTTTTAAATGATCTGCGGTCGTCCATCATTGATAATATGTCGTCAGTCATCCAATTCTTCTTTTGTACTTTTGGAAAGCGATCAGAGACTTGGTGGTGGTTACGATAGCTTTTTTTAATGCAATTCCATTTGTCTTCTATACTGGCTGATTGTTTAGATCTTGCCGTGATATCCGCTATTGCCTCATTTAATTTTTCTGTGACTTTTAATTTAACGTTAGGTTGGTTGTGATGGCACTGAATAAGGTTCCGTTTTCACTTTTTGGTCATTGAGTAGCACATCTACTAAATATTTACCGATAATTATATCAGACGTCACGAATATCCGTTAATCTAGTGTCTATGAATTTTTGAAAAATTTGTAAACGATTGCATTTAAAAGCCCCTTTATGCGTATTTATTGTTTGTGCTTTAGCACCTTCGCGGTTGACACTTAACTGCAGATAAGCTCGCGCTATGTCCAGTTTTGCAAAAACTTTACCGACTGCAAGTGTGGATAGGATACCCTGTACCGATGGCACTGAATAAGGTTCCGGATTTAACGCTAAATTCAATGTGGATTTGTAGTCACCACAAATCCTAACCTCCCCGTTTTCTTTGCAAATAGTCACAATTGGGGTGCACCATTTTGGGTGCGTAATCGGCTCTATAACCCCTTGCGCAATAAGCCTGTCCAGTTTAACTTAGATTTTGTCGTCTTTTAGCGCAAATGGAACTTTACGAGCTTTACTCATACTTAACCAGCTTTACATTTTTGTCCAACGAAAAACTTACTGGGGGACCACGGTAAGATCCCAAATCTGTATTAAATACATCTGGATATTCTTCTGAATAATTAATCATTGATAACATTTGACTTTTACCCCAGCTATGGTTAAACCTAAACCAGTTTCTACCGAGTAGACTGGCGCGATTGCCTTCCGTGGCTATGAGAGGAAGTGTCGCTGATCTTGGACCTCTCTTTACCTCCACTTCACATTTACCCAGTGAATAACTCGCGCCTGAGTCAACCTCCATTTTCACTTTTTGGTAATGCTATCAAATGTCACGTGATTTAACGAAAATTCATAGAATACTTTGATAAAAAACACTCTGAGTGTTCCCCGAAACCGGCTCGGTGTTGGACGTAGATTCCACGCCAGTCTAATGTACTTTGAGTTTGTGATTTTGGTTCTTCTTTTTAGCAAAACAAGTTATTTCGATATGTCCAGCTTTCCTGCAATATGTATAGGTTGATTTAAGTTTCAGGAGAATGTTCCCTATCGCACCGAAAACATTTCTTGGTTTCGCGATTAACTCATTGTGGTTTGAACTGACCCAGTTGATTTTTACGAAAACTTACCGCGTTTAAATCTGGGCTCGAGTCACTTTCTCGTAGCACCGCCAAACTTTCCACGGTCACCTCGTGTGCAAGGCACGTCTTGCACGTCCTTAAGTTTTAACTTATCTGTGGCTAGCAACATTTGCTGTAGCGATTCGTTGGTAATACCACAAACGAGTCGGCCACGAAGCACTATGTCAAGGCTAGTTCCGAAACCACAGGGTTCTGCCAATTTTCGTAATTCTTTCGGATACACAGATATTGTTTCACCAGTCTGTTGATTTCGACGATAGAACTTAAACCTGCACAAAATTTCAGACGTTTTTGGCGAAAAATGCTTTTTTAACTTAACCATGATTTTGGTTATAAGTTTTATCAGACACTTTGGACGGCGCGACCAAAGATCTAATAATATCGTATCTATTAGGACAGCACAAACTTAAAAATATAGCTTTTTTCTTATCAGGGTCCGTAATGTTATTTACCGTGAAGAAAAATCTATAGGTACGCTCGACGTATGATTCCCAACCTTTGGAGTCACCCATGTTAAACTGTTCGATGTTTCCGAATGCCGCCATCTTGCACACAATTTGCTTTATTTATCACCGGGAGGAATAATGCACTTAAACTGGCACACACGAATCGGACCGGGTTGTAAATAATAACCACAGTACCTATAGGAAATACTACGGACTTTTATTATCACTCCAAAACCTAATGCAAATAAATATACCTACATAATTAAACGATCGTCCGGTCTGTCTCATCCTGAGTTTCTTTTCCAGCAGATTGTGACGTAACCGCACTGCATGGTTGCCAATACATCACACTAGCTTTATTATCCCAATACTAAAATCTGGAGATAATTAATTTTCAAGTGAACAATTATCGGCCTATTCGCATTCTAAGTTGTATTCCCAAAGTTTTTGAGAACCTTGTCTGTGACTATTTGTCAGCAACTTTAAAAGGCTCTCTTATCGACCGGCAATTTGGATTTCTCTCTAGCCGCTCCACTGAACTTAATACATTGACATTTACTGATATCCCTATAGAATCTCTTGAAGATGGCTTCCAGGTTCATGTTGTATACAGACTTTACAAAGGCGTTTGCCCGTGTAAATCACAAGATTTTAATCAATAAGTTGAAGAGTCTGGTTATGCAGGGTGAACTTTTAGAATGGTTGTTATCCTACCTAACTAAAAGAATACAAGTAGTATGTGTTCAGGGTTTTCAATTGTTTGAGATTAAGGTACTTTCAGGAGTACAAGGATCACACCTAGGGTATGTACACCTGGGTATTACATGCAACAGCTTAAACTTATTCATAAGATTTTATTATGCAATTTGCAATATAGTGAAATTTTGCAATGGATTGTATATTTTATTGTTTTATTCTGTGATATTGACGATTTATGTAGCTTTATTAAATTTATTTTTATTATTGAGTTTAATGCGTTGACAACTAATGGTCATTATTAAATTTTAATTGTTATTACTTTTTTTTTACTTTTATAAGCTTTGTCTATAAAATTGTACAGTTTTCAGTGACAATAAAGCATATTTCTATTCTATTCTATAGGACCTCTTCTATTCAATTACTATGTTAATGACAATGTTTGCTGACGATGACAAATAATGTTTGCTGACAATTTAAAATCATATTTTAAAATTGAGAATGATGGTGACTAGCAAAAACTACAGTCTGATTTGGATTAGTTGAGCTATTGGTGTGACAGCAATGGAATGGAACTTAATGTTAAAATTTGTCATTTAATGGATTTTGGTCGGAATAAAACTCTTACAAATCATATCTATACTATTAATTCCAGCTTATCCTACATTCCCCATATTTCATCTTTTGTCTCAAAATCAGTTCAACTTTTGGGGTTTATCAAACATTGTGCTAAAGACTTTCTAAATATCCCATCCATAAAAATTTTGTAATGTTCATTTGTGAGACCCCACCTAGATTACTGTTCATGTGTTTGTTCTCCCCACTATAAGACCCATATTCAAGCTATTAAAAAACCAGAGGATTGAAGATATTAACTATTCAAATATGGAAAGGTTCCTCAACATAATTTCTCTCCAAATCCGATGCATGCACAAAGATCTCATTATGTTTTATAGTATACTGGACTCTCATTATTTTTGGTCCTCAACTATTGGAAAATATTAATCTCCATGTACCCAGTAGACAAACACGGCTAAATCAACCCTTTTATATTAGACCCCATCGCACAAACTATGGACACAATTTCTTCACACCTAGAACACCAAGGTTTGCTAATCAATATTCCCAAAGGTTGGATTGTTATAGTATTCCAAAAGAATTTAAAGCTCAGCTTAAGAACTGTGTGTGATGTCCTTGTGTTTTGTACATTCTTTGTTATTTACTGTTCCTACTTTCATTTTTTGTTTGATTAAAATTTTTAAATTTAATTTAAGTAGGTTACATTAAGAAACTTCTGTAATTTATTAATGTTTACATTGTATTTTAATTGGGTGATTGCCCGTTGATAAATAAGTACTGTAGGTGAAATATTTGAGTAGGTGCGGATTGCGAAGATGTTTGGGAGTGGAGGTTTTGGTTATAATTTTCAGAAATTATCTGTTATCTAATTATTTTCAGAAATTTCAGCGTTATAATGATTAAAAGTTTGTTTTTGGAGCTGATAAATTCACACTAACTAGTATAAGGGTCAGGACTGAACTCTCATGAGGCCTTTTGAAATTAGTGGATCAATATATGTACAGATAGTCAAGAAGCTATATTTCTCATTTGAATAACTACCAAAAAATCAGTACAAATGCTTGGGATTATGAGTTTGCATGACATTTTGATCTTTTTTAATTTTGGTCATTAATTGAGTATATGGATATACTAACAAAAAATCAAGAATATTATTTAAAAATTATTTATTAAAAAACCGTTGTTACTAAATAATTACATTTATTCTAATAACATTTACAGATAACATTATGTCATCAAAACCATTTTCTCGTCTTTCAAAATGTTTTAAAGTAAACTGAACAAACAACTCATATATTTTTAGTAGCGTATTAGGAAAGACTTAAAAAATGCGCTCATAAAACATAAACTTTACACACTTGTGAAATAGATCAGAGTCTAATATCCCCATAAATTTACTTTGCTTCTTTTGTGTAAGCATCTAATTCTGCATCCAGTTCTTCAGCTGTTGGCTGTTTTGCCTGTTGGTTTCTTGGGTTACGCCCTCGGCCTCCCCCTAAAGAGAAAATTTTTTTTTTTAGATAACTTAAAAATATATATTTTCCACAAATTAATGATACCTAATATTACTACTCTAACAATGTACATTAGAGAAGGTACACATAGTTATTTTAATATAGTTATATGAATTTCATTGTCTTGTCCTTTTGACTAATGGACTTATGACTAATATGATTAAAAACAAAATAATTGGATTGTTTTTAAATTTATTGTCTCAAAATAATTGCTGGTTTCCTGAAAAATTTTTCTTAAATACTTTTTTTTAATTCCAAATAAGTAATTGTTTCTTTATCTGACTCTGATGTCATCAATATAAACTCAAATTGATTCTGTATTTGTCCACAAGTTTCTCTAATCAACCGGAGCAAATCATGACTGACAAAAAATGTTAGCTGACTTAAAAAAATCAGTTCATTTACTCTACTTGTCATTAAAAGATGTTCATAGTCGAAAATGATACATTATTTTAAATAAAATTGTAGGAAGCACTGTGTAGATGCTTTGTTCTGTGTGGATATTTAGGTATCTTCATTCAGAAAAAAATTAGAATATCAAGAATCATGTTTCAAACTTTGCAATCTTGTAATATACTATGGTCTCGCAAAAAAATGAAATTAGTCATCCAAAGTCACACATTGCAAGTAGTCAATATTAGCTGAAATCATGTATCTATCATGATTTCTCGGAAATTTTAAATTCTATCATAGACAGCTAGTAAGAAAATGTTTCCTTGCAGTTATTTTACACTGTAACAAGAGAATATTAATTTCTGCTTATAATAATAAAAATAGTTTACAAAATAAGTTTTCATTTACGTTATTAATGGGAAGAGGGAATTACTAGGCAAGGAAGGTCAACAAAGAACAAGAACAAATGACTGGTTTGGCGAAGAATGTTATGATTATAACAGAAAGAAAAAAAACAGAATATTTACTGACGCAACAGGGGCACAGAACATGGCAAGCACAGGAGGAATATAAATAACTATGTAAAGAAGAAATAAAACATCTGTGCAGAAAGAACGGAGAAAATATGAACAAAGCCAAAAGAAACAGGGAATTTTTACTAGAAACTGAACAAAGCAGAATTGAATTCAAACAAAAGAAGTGAAGAGATAGGGGGGTAATATATTGACAAACACCAAGAAAAAGTATGATGATAGAATTCCTGAATGCAACTGAAAATGTTTTAGATTTAGATATATTAGATGTTTGTTTATAATACTCAATTTTAACGTTTTCCTACTTTCAATTACATGTTCGTATCATATTATGCCATACCCTAAATAAAAAATAAATTCTCTGTTACTGACACTTCCTGGTAGAAGTTTTGGTTGAATTTACCAAAAGTACAAGCTGATTATAGCCGCAAATGTCAAACATGGAACAAAAAATTTCGGTATAGCAGTGTTGGCATGTTTTTATAATGTAGATGCTGTATGCTTCAAATATAAAAAGATAAAGCTTTAGAAAAGTACATTTTGTTTATAATATGCTATGAATACTGAAATGTTTAATTTATATGCAACAATAACTAGTAAATATTTGTTTCTTTGAAGATAAATTGCAAATTATCAGAAATTTTTTGGCAATTACCCTTTGATAGATTAGGGGATATATTTGGTAATCATCAAATCAGCAGTTGCCAGATTGCAACAGATGGTTGCAATTAATCTCGAAAGAGACAAATATCTACACGTTATTGCTTCATATAAATTAAAAATAGCAGAATTCATAAAATAGTATAATCAAAATACACTTTTTAAAAGCTTTACCTCTTTATATTTGAAGCATACAAGATATGCATTATAAAAACATGCCAACACTGCCCAACTGAAACATTTTTGACATTTTCGGCTTTATTCAGCTTGTACTTTCTGTAAACTCAAGGGATAACTAATTTCATTTTTTATATGCTGAAGCTAAGTAACCACTTTAAAAAAATATATAATGATACTCACCTCTAGGAAGTCTACCTTTACCACCCCTAGGACTTCTGCTTTGGAATTTTCTATCGCTACCACCAGGCCTTCTTAGTGGAGTAGGTATTTCTGATGTTGTTAATTGGATATTCATTGCTCTTCCATCAAGAGGAACACCGTTGTACTGCTTCATGGCTTTGATTGCATCACTTCTTCTTTCAAAAATAACATCTGCTGTTCCAAGGGACCTGCCAGATCGATCATAATGTACGGCAGCACCAGTCAATACACCAAATTCAGCAAACAATTCCTGTATATCTGAGTCCGATACTCCAAAATCTAGATTAGAAACCAAAAGTTTAGTTGGTCCCATAGTGGCTTGTACTGTAGCTCTAGCAGCTGCAACTTTTCTTGGGCCATAACCTTCAAATAGATCATGCTTCCATGCACTGTTTACGTCTCCCTAAAGAAACAATTGGTCAGCACCTATAGCTTCTGCTGTATTTTAAGAAGACTCCACGACATTCCAGCCCGAGCCTCAAAATATATAAAAAATATTAAAATTAAGTATTAAATCTAGTTACCCGCGTGTAATTGCGAGATATGCCGCCTCGCCCACGACCTCTTTGCACATTTCCACCGGGACGACCTGAATTTCTAAAATTTCCTCCACGGCGTTGGCCAACACCAACGCCACCACTGCTGCTATTACCGCCTCCTCCACGACCTCTTCCGCCTCTTCTGCCTCCTCGGACTCGTTGTGTTCGGTTTGATTTGATTATGTCGTCCAAACTCATTTCAATTTTATCAACCATTTTTTTATATTATGGCTAACTAATGAAATAAAAATACTACGATGGCGTCACTTTCAGCTCGCTGTCAACAATGAAATAAAATGGCGTCCTGTCCTGAGCACATTCATTTTCTGTCAAATAAATGGAAGTGGTAAAATTAATACAGTACAGCCAACTGTATAAATTAAATATTATCTATGACATTCTAGGTTTGTAAGCACAGAATTTATAATTTCGCTCGTCTATAAAGCTGGATTTATAGTTTGACGTACTGTAGACGTAGACGCACTGGAGACGTAAGAAACGGACTGTAAATATTTTTTCAATTTATAAATGGACGTAGTGGAATTTTTGCGCATGAGTAAAGACAAGAATTGGTGACCCACAACATTCAATATAACCTATAAATTATACAATTATAGGAATCAGAATTCATAATAAACAAAGGGTGTGTGTTTATACTATTGTTTATTATAATATTTTTTTTAACCTTTTTTGCGTGTTAGAATGGATTGTCAAATATACGAAGGTATGCTCCTTGGCGCTGTAGGATTGCTGCTGTGCTGTGTGCAAAAAAAAACTAGAAGGACAATAATAAGGCGACCAAGACGTTATAAAACAAGACCAATAAACCGTAATAGAAAAATAGAGAATGCTTATAATTATTTTTTAAAGATGAAGACAGAAGATCCAGATCAATGTTTGGCATATTTCAATATTGGTGCAATGAACATAACCCATTCTTTCTTTTGATTGGTCAGACGTAAGAAACGCACTGTAAAAGTTGAAAGTTGACCAAATCTTCCGTTACAGTGCGTTTCGCTTACGTCCCGTCTTGCGTTTACGTTCATTTATAAATAGGAGTACACAAAAGTCTATGTTGATCTTTTTCCAGTGCGTCTGCGTCTACAGTCCGTCAAACTATAAATCCAGCTTAAATAATAATATATCAATAATAATATATAATATCAATTTCATTAAAAATATTGATAATATATTCATTTTTTAAGTTCGTAAATTTGCAAAAAAAGATTATTAACTTTTTATTAACAAATTTTTAGATATAAACATAGAAAGAACTCTTAAAGGAAAATAATAAAATATTAAAGGAATCGAAAAATATAGCTGGTAATTTGGAAATTTGTTTAAATTAGAGGAAACGTAACAAGACCAAGGGAGGGAGGTAGGTCAAAATATCTTGGCAAGAAAAGAGCAAACAGTGGACCCTATTGGTGGAAGGAGAGGATTGAAGAAATAAGAAAAGGCTACATAGAGCTAAGAAGAAAATTCACAAGGGATAGAGGGAGGCACCGAATGATTGAAGAGAACGTATAAAAAATAAAACCCTTAAATAAAGAACTGGTACGAGAAATAAATGGTGAAAAATGAGGTGCTGGAAAGAAGAAGCGCCTGAACCTAATATGATAGCACCCAAGATAATAAAAATCATTCTAAAAACATTGCGAGGGGTAAAACTCTACGAGGATAACGCCGCAGGGCTTCGTCCTTGGGCTATCGCTTTGGAATGTCTTGTACAGCGAGATTTTGGAGGCCTACCTGGGCATTAGTGTACAGACAATAGCATATGCGGATGTTCTGGTGGTGCTGGTGGACACAACGAAAACTGTTCAAACTCGAAACACTAAAAGCCTTTAAGAACGAACTTCTTTTTCTCCTTTTTCTTTTTATGTAGACATGACTCTGTTTTTCGATGTGCCTCCAGTAAGTTGTAGTTTCATCGTATTTATGGTCTTCCTAGTGATCATATTCTTATTGGGAAACCATCTCTCGCCGTCTTTACTACTCTATTTGTTGTCATTCGGCTTAGGTGATCGTTCCATTCTCCTCTTCTATTTCTTACCCAGTCCTTGATGTTCTCCACCTTACATCTACGTCGTATATCTGTATTTCTAGCTCTGTCCCATAGTATCTTTCCATCAATGTTTCCAAGCGTTTTCATCTCTTGTATTTCTAAAATTCGTTTTGTCCTCTCTGTATCAGGTCATGTTTCTGCCGAGTATATCATTATTGATCTGGTGACTGTTTTGTAAATTCTGCCTTTCATTGCTTTCTCGATATCTTTATTTCTCCATATTGTTTCATTTAGACAACCTGCGGTTCTGTTTAGAATAGGAATTGGGAAAACACTGAACTAACCAGAAAAATAAATACCGAAAGGGGAAGGTGCTGAAAAAAACTCTGTGAAATTCTGGAAAATAACATCTAAGGGACGTGTAAGGAAACACTTTCTTTAAGATACAGGTCAGCCGCAGAATAGAACTAGCGAAAGCACTATTCTCGCAAAGATTGGAGGAAATCTTTCAAATAATACCTACAGGGGCACCAAATGGCTTCACAACAAAAGAGATAATTGAAGCGGTAGAAGGCACAAAGACAGAGAAGGCAACCAGACCTGAAAGAACTACTACGCAAATAATAAGGCCATTATTGAGGAGGAGGCTAAATGGATGAAAAACATAATGAACGACATTTTTACAAGATAGAAATTTCCTACGGTATGAAAAGCGGCAAACCTTATCCTCATTCCTAAACTTGGGAAAGAAATTGAAGAAACGGTTGTTTTCAGGCCAATATGCTTGCTAAATACACTAGAAAAACTATTTGAAATCCTCATAAAGTCGAAGCAATAACAAGAAATAGAAGACAGGGGAAGCCTGTTGGACCAATAATATGGTTTCATAAAAGACAGATCTGCCTTAGATGCCATAAACAGAATAGTAAGAAAAAAGAAGCATTCAGGGCTAGGTGAAAAAAAAAAAACGGAGACCATAATCCTCAAGTGCCTAAGAGCGAAAGAGCACATCTCCTTTACTTTGTGAGGAGAAAGTAATCTGCTCATTAAGAAAATCAAATATTTGGGTGTGATACCAAACAGACTTTCGGTCAACATGTAATATAATACCGCGAAAAAAGCCAAGCAAAGAACAGCGGCGCTAATAAAGATAATGCCAATCGTACAAGATCCAGAGACAGGTAGGGGAAGAATTCTAATGGAAATGGTCCACTCCACTAATATAAGCAGCACTAGTTTGTCAGCAGGTAATGTGTAAACAAAAATAAAAGAGAATTCCAAAGAAAGCTCAGATAAGGGCTTTGTTGAGGGTCATGTCTGCACAAAGACGATGTCGAAAGTTGCCTTAAAAGTGATAGCACCAATTCATCTTCTTCTTCTTCAAGTTCCACTCTTATCGGAGATTGGAAATCATTCTGGCAATTATAATTTTATTGGTTACTCGCCTGAATAGTTCAATTGAACTGCATTCAAACCACTCACGGAGATTGCGTAGCCACGAGATTTTACGTCTTCCTACGCTTCTTCTACATTTGATTTTACCCTGCATTATATTCCTTAGTAGTTCGTACTTTTCCAATCATCTCTTGGTCAATCTCTCAATCTTTTCGTACCAATTCATCTACTAGTAAGGTAAAGGGCAGTCATTGGTATTTGGCAGTTGGCATGAGTGAAAACAACAAAGCATACGAGAGGGGGGTGACCAACACGAAATTGCAAGAAGTGTGGGAAAACTAACATATGGCTGAATGGACAAGAGGAAGACCAACTACTTCACTTCAAAGTCTACCTGGTAAAGATAGGAAAGCAAGAAGACGACAACCACGTTTATTGCTGGGTTAATGACAAGGGCTGAATTTTGTGTGTTTGGTTGTATAAGGTTCACGAACAAGAGAGCAGAGTTATACGAAAGGGAGAGCAAAGTGCGGTCTAATATATATTGGAAGTGGCAGGAAGACGAGAAAATGAATATATAAAATCCTGGGCGCAATAACTAGAATAATGAAAAGGAAGGGGATCTTAGAAAGGCGGCGACAACAGGCATAAGCGCAAAAGGAGAAAAAGGACAAGATATATGAGATGTTTCAAACAAGACTAATCGCGACTACGTGGCTCAGGGTGGTTTTAGTTGGGAGGCTGGCCGTCAGGGATGAACCCTTAGGAACGACTTCCAAGAAGGGAAAAGCACTCGGATGTATCCTATTGCTCTGAATCCAATACACGCCAGCTATTTCTTTCGGCAAATTCTACTGGTACGGTCTTTAGATTTTACATCATCAACAAAAAAGAAAGTTCAAGTTAAATTGTATTCATACGATATTAAATCACAATTAATTATTGTAATAAAAATTATAGGTAAATGAAATATAGTAATAAAATTATAAATAAAATGTAATTCTTATTACAATCAATTATGGTTTAATTCCGTATTAATACAATATTTAACTTAAAACACGCAGAATATAGAACAATCGTTCAGATGATTAATAATAATAATTAGCAAAAATCAGAGTTAGACACAATAACGTAACTAAATCAAACATGAAAAATACACAACCGCTATTGTCCGCATTCGCGTTACGGAAGCACAGAATAAACAGAATGCCCACTCTCAGATGCCGCCTTTAAAGTTTTTCAGCACGCGCGCCATGTTTTAGAAGGAAACACAGACCACAGTATAGTGACACAGACATATTATGATTTGTGAGGTTATGTAATTGTATATAATGTCTATAATTACCGTAAGTCAATTAAACCGGGTTAATTTTTCTATGCACACCCACGGTTCCTAGACTTACTACGGTTGCCTCTTCCGCCTAACCAATGAACATTAAGCTGGATTGTACTCCTGTGACGTAATTTGAATCTTAACATTCAGCCCTGTGATTGGATAGATGTATCAAAACAAAAATGTTTTATAAATAAAATAAATGTTAAATAACGTGCACGTTAACCTGCATTTACGTTAAATTCTAAAAATTGATGTGATGTATCACAGATAACGTTTGTCAAAAAAAAAACGTTATGTGGTAACGTTTTACGTTATCTTGCTAACATAATATATTATATTCTTTATAGTTTAGTTTGCAGATTTACTTCCAGAATTAATTTACTATGTGTTTATAATACGCAAATCTGTAGAGTAAATTATTTTACTTTCAAACTAAATTTTACTTGGCAAGTAAAATGTTTTATAATACCGCAATACCGGACATAAAAGTGGTATAAACAAACCAGACAGCTGTTGATTTGAATAGAATAATTATTAATTATCTTTAGT